AGTCTTAAGCTCTTTGTACTCCCAGGTAATCCTTGATGACTGTAAACTCCAGAGGGGTTGCCAATCTACATCTGTGGAAGGACTTTCTTCAACTGGGAGCTCCCTACATGGATGAAATTATAGCTCCAGAGCAAAAGCAAAGCAAAGCAAAATAAGACAAAACAAACTGCTGTTGGCCCCTTGGGAGACATACAGGTGGAGAGGAGTTATTTACTCATTCCAAACCTGACAGTATGAAAGAGTTTGCATGTATGGCGGCGGTGGTGGGAGGGGAACGGAAACTAACAAATGCCTTCACCTTTTCTCTCTAGCCTGCCTAGTGCTTTCAAGGAGGATTCAGAAAGGTTGACCAAACTCTCCAAGTCTTCTCTCCCCTCTCTACCTTCAGCCAAAGGTATTTTCAGAAAGATGTAGAGCCCTATTACAGCTGTGGCTTTTGCCTGGAGAGGGGGCAGGGTCAGGTGTGAACCTGCTCTGATGGTATCTCTGGTGGGGAGTACAGGCCCAAGGCCCAACTTTAGATCTCCTTTAGGTAAGTGTGGGGTGTAGCCGAAGCTGATAAGCCCAGGAGAATGCCCAAGCCTGGGGTGGGATGAGGGTTCGAGGATTACTAACTACCTCCTTCTTCCATTCTGAGCTTCCCATTCCAGCATTTTTCTTGAGTTGGTAACAGAGTGTGGGAGATTGTCATAGCCAGCCTGGGCCCCAGCTCCTATTTTCATGTTGGGCTGTGTCTATTCAGTAAATCAAACGGATCAAGCCATGCCAGTATCCTATCTCACCATCTAATTCCACTGACATAAGGGTGAGTGGCAGGTGAAGTAGGGCAGAGTCGGATAAAGTGGGCAGTGACCGTCAACAGCTCTGGAACAACCAGCCAGTCTGGATGGAAATCCAATGGGATACACATGACCAAACGACATGGATGGAAGAATAAGGAAGAGAAAGTCAAGTCTCTTGATAAAAATCTGCCTCCACTGTGGTTCCAATGGGGGGTGGGGTGGAGAGGGGGAAAATATCATTTATTTCCTTTAGACCTACCATGCACCATGCAGCCCTGGGCATAAGATCACACTTTCAAAGAGTCACTCTATTACCCCGGCAGAGAGATTTTCCTTTAGCTATTTTCCTCTGTATCTTTCACTGTCTCTGATCCTTTCCTCCTCCTTTCTTGTGGTTTCTTCTCTCTCTGTTCCTCCTCCTCCTTTTTTCTACTCTCATCTCCTGTCTCTATCCTTTTTTTTTCTACATTGCCTCTCTCTGACTTACTCTGATCTCCTCTGTTCTTGTTTCAATCTTTCTCTCAATTCCTCTTTCTCTAACCTGATCCTTTCCTCCTCTTCCTCTATACTTCTCCCTAAACTCTCCTTCCTTTTGTTCCTCTCCCATCTCTTTCTCTCCTTTCCCCATTTTCTGCCATTCTTCTTCTTCCTCTTTCTTCTCTCTCTCCTTTTCTCATTTTTCTCCCCATCCCTCTCTCTTCACTTCTCCTTGACTCTTCTCTTTCTCTCCTGTATTCCTATTTCTCTCTCTTCATCCACCTCTCCCTTTTTCCTCTTTCTCTGGTCCCCTCTGCTGTTTTTGTATCTCTTTCTCTCTTCCTTTCTTTCTCTTTTCTCCTTTTCCTCTCTTCCTTTCCCACGTCTCTCCCTCTTTTCCTATTTCATTGTTTTCTGTGCTTTAAAGGAGCAGAGGGTGGAGGGGGGGTGGTAGATAGGGAATGCTTACAGCAATGTCTAATCACTCTGCAGAATGCCAGAGAGTTAAAATTCCAAAACAGAAGACGAGTTTGGGGCTGATGGCAAGCATCTATCTCAGCCACCTCTCATGTTCCCCCCCCCCTTGAGTGTAATTTATACTTTGCTGATTTAAATTAAGCAGTAGACAGTGGAACCAAAAAAAAAAAAGAAAAGAAAAAGTTACAAGAAAATCACAATCATGTCAGATGTGGTCCACCCCTGCCTCCATCAGAAATGAGGTCGCTTGACCTTTTGTGTAACCTGAATACAGACATGTGCAAACCCCGATCACCAAACTTTCTTCCATCCTCCTTCAGCAGATCCCAAACAGGCTGAATTTTCTCCTAAAAATGTGTCTAGTCTAGCACTGGCAACATCTGCTATTTGTCTCCTGCTTAGGCATTCATCAACAGTCACCATCTGGAGCCCTGACCCATCAGGAATAAATTGGAAAATTGGTGATCAAAACAGAGGCTCTTGCATCCAGAAGCAAATGAAGGAATCAATCAATCCAGAATTTCCTGAATCCTGGAGAACTGGATTCTGTTAGACCAAACTAGCCCCAAGGGGCTCAGCAGTGATGAGGAGGGAGGGCTTTCCAAGAATGGGGGCCAGCTTGGGCAAATACACAGAAGTAGGAGATGGAGAGTTAAATTTAGTTAGTAAACTAGTTTGAAAGGATCTGAGAGCTGAGCAGAATTGTATTAGACTGCATAGATCCTAGGAGACTCAGCAGTGGGGATGGGAAGATGGTGGACTCTTTTATAAAAAGTGAACTTCCTCCCTCTCCTAGGAGAGTTGACTGGCACCATGGAAAGAACTCTAGGTTTGGAAGAAGACTTGTGTTCAATTTCCATCTCTCCTACCTACTGTCTGTGTGGCCTTAGCCAAATCATTAAACTAGATAGGAAAGGGCCTTCTGAAGCTTCCTTTCCTTTCAATGGGCTGCTTTTGAGCTGGTTTTGTTTGTAGTTCATTTGATGTATGCATATGGACTGCATTGCCAGCTAGATGATAATTTGTGTCTTAGTTCTTGGTAACATCCCTACTTCCTTCAACCAGCCCTAATATGGCATCCCTTTGAGGCCCTCCACCATCCTTCTGGATACTCTCTAGCTTATCAATTCACTTCCTAAAAAATGGTGCCCCAAGAAGAATATAACACTCCCAAAGTTTTCTGACAAAGGCAGATCACAAAAGCACAATTATCTCCTTGTTCCAGAAAGCTATGCCTCTCTTAATGTGGTCTAAGATCCCACTGGCATTTTTGGATGGCTGTCACGCCCTACTGTTTGTTGATTCATACTAGGCTCGTATTCACCAAAGATTCCATAGCCTCATCAGATGAACTTCTGTTGAATCATGCTTCCCCAATATTTCTCTTGTGATTTCTTAGACCCGCGAGTAAGATTTTACATTGATCCCTCTTAAATCCTACCTTATTAGATTTAGTCCAATGCCCTAGCCTGTCACAATCTGTTTGGACCCTAACTCTAATGTCCAGTGTGTCAGTTATGCTTCCAGGGTTTGTGTTATTTGATAAATATGCCTTCTATGCCTTTGTCCAAATCATTGAGGAAAATGTTAAAGAGTACAGAGCCAAGCACAGATTTTTAAAGTGGGGGGAGAGAAGTGAATAAATATTTGCTAAGTACCTGCTATATGACAGGGGCTGCACTAAGTATTTTAAAGATATTATCTCACTGGATCCTTATAGCAACCCTGGGAGGTAAGTGCTATTAATACGTCCATTTTATAATTGAGGAAACTGAGGCAGCTAGAGGTTAAGTGAGTTGCCCAGAGACCCACAGCGGGTAAGTATCTGAGGCTGAATTTGAACTCGGGTCTTCCTAACTTAAGATCCAGCACTCTATCCACTGTGCCACTGGTCTGTAAACATTTTAAAGCTTTACCCTGATTTACCAATTTGCTGGCCTTACCAAAAAAAGAAACAAGGGTAGCATGAACTGTTTTTGAGAAAGCCATGCTGACCCTGTGCTGTTCTTTGTGGATGTACACTAACCCATTCTAGAATATACTAATAATTACATTATGTAACACATTTAAATATATTTATTATTATAGATGGTCATATACTACATATTATGTGTTTCTATAATATGTAAATTGTATATTTATATATAATAACACTTTAATAATCTATCCTAGAATATATGAACAATTATATTATTTGATATATTTATCATTATATGTTATAGACTACATACTATATAATGCATATTATGTGTCTGCATAATATGTAAATTATATATTTAATATATAATAATGCTTTAATAACCAATTCTAGAATATACTAATAACTATATTTTATTTAATATGCTTTAATATATTTATATTATGCTATATATTATAGAATATATATCACATCCTTGTATAATGTACAAATTATATATTTAGTATATAATAATAACACTTTTATATCCTACTCTAGAATATACTAATAATTATATTAGTTGATATATTTATTATATGTTGTACATTATATGTTGTATAATATATGTTTGTGTAATATATGAATTATATATTTAGTAATATCACTTTAATATCCTATTCTGGAACATACTACTAATTCTATTATTTAATATATTTTAATATATTTATTAAATGCTGTATATTATGTGTTATATCATATGTTTTTATGTAATATATAAATGATATATTTAATAGTATCACTTTAATATCCTATTCTAGAACATCCTAATAATTATTTGATATATTTAAATATATTTATCATATGTTGTATATACATTTATGTAATATATATTTAATAATATCACTTTAATATCCTATTCCAGAATATACTACTAATTGTATTATTTAATATATTTTAGTATGCTTATTATATGTTATATATTACAGGTTACATAACACATGTTTATGTAATATACGAGTTACATATTTAATATATAATGACAATGCTTTAATAATCCTTTCTAGAATTTTTCCAGAATAGAAATGAAGATCCCTGACCTATGGTTTACTAACTCTGTTTTCTTCTCTTTTTTGAAAATTGGAATATCTGGTTTTCTCCAATGCTATTCTTCACAGTCTTTCAAATATAAATTCATGATGGCTCAGCTATCCCATCTCTCAGTTATTCTAGTCCCTGAGAATCTAATTCCTCTGGGCCAGGTGATTGGCATTCATGGAGGGCAGCTGGGTGTGTCTCACTCTCTCCTTACTTATCTTGGGCATCTACTCCCTCCTGGACATTTTTGTTCTGACTTTTCCAGTCTAAAGGTCATTCCTCTTGGCAGAAAAATCAGAAACAAATGAATGAAGAAATGAGTAGTTCTGCTCAATGCCTCAGCAGACACAGGATTTGGAAACAAGGGGCCAACCTTTATGCCAAACTTCAGCAACTCCCTTCTCACATTTCAAGAGTCACCATGGGGCTGACTCTTTCTTCTGGTCATCTGAAGAAATTTATGAAAACAGCATGAGGGCCTGCTTTGTCCTGATAAGAAGAGGCATTTGCTGAATGGGACCCTGGGGACCTGGAAGAGCTCAGTAAAGGTTTGTCAAAAGTTACCATTTTTCTCTCTTCTCATTGCCAGGATCCAATCCAGTTCTTCATTGTACTCTACTGGACAAGTTACTCTCTTTGGTGTGGCTGGGTTACCACTCTTGTAGATTCTAACTGGAGTGCCTTGAAGATGTTTCTGGAAGTGTGGGAGAGGCAATGAATCTTGCTAGACGAAAGAGTCCAGAACGGCCAGAGAGGATGTTAGACAAAGGTACCAGGTTTTGACTCCAGGTTCTGACATTCATGAGCTTGGGCAAGTCACTTAACTTGGCCCTGTTTCCTTGCCTGCATCTTCATCAGAGTACTGAAAAGTGGGGTATACTGATGTTTCATTAATTATATTATATAGAATATAAAATTGTTATTATTATATAATATAATTATTATATGATATATCCTCAATGCAGTAACTGAATTGTTTTTTTTCTAAATTATTCTTCATTTTATAAAAATGTCTTCAGTTTTCCCAAACTGAATAATCTTCTCCTTTCTCCCTAACGGTATCTGTTTTTAAAAATTAGTTTGGATGATTCTGTGTGTCCTTGGTTAGATCATCTCCCCTCCCTGGGTTACAGATTTCTCATCTATAAAATGAGAGGTCTGATCTAGAAAGCCTTCCTGGTTTCGATCCATTCTCTTAGAATCCTAGGATTCTGTGACTTGTAAATGTTTCTTTTCCTCAGAGCAGGCACCACCCGTAGTTACCATGCTGCTTCAGGGAGAGGGCCAGCACTCTGCTTGTAGCCCAGTTTTACAACCTGTAAAATGGGATCAAGCACTTGGCACCATAAATTGCCTCCAATATGTTATGAAGAGCAGCTGCAATTTTGGGATCCATTTATTCATTCATCAGACATTTATTTATTACGTACTATGTTCCAGACATTGTACTCGACACGGAAGATACAGATTAAAAATGAAACAGTTTCTACCCTTAAGGGGTATGTGTTCTTTTGGGAAGAAACAACATGATCTCTCTCTTCTCTCTTCCCCTCTTTCTCCTCTCCCCACCTCTCTCCCCCTCTCCCTCTGTCTCTATCTCTGTCTCTGACTGTCTCTCTACCATTCTCCCTCCTTCCCTCTTTCTGTCCCTTTTCCCCTCTCTCTGTCTCTGTCTCTCTCATTCTCTATTCTTCCCTTTCTCCCTCTTTCTGTATCTCCCTCTTATTCTTTCTCTCATTCTCTGTCTCTATTATTCTTTATTTCTCTCTTCTTCTCTGTCTCTCTCATATTCTTTCTTCGCCTTCTCTGTCTTATTCTCTCTCCTTCCTTCTCTGTATCTACTATTTTTCTCATTCTCTCTTTTTATCTCTGTCACTCTCATTATCTCTCTCTGTTTCTGTGTGTCTGTCTCTCTCTGTCTCCGTATATCTCTGTGTCTTTCTCTCCCACTCTCCCCCCATCCCTCTTTTTGTCCCTTTCTCCCTCTCTCTGTCTCTTTCATTCTCTATCCCTCCCTTTCTTCCTCTTTTGGTATCTTTGTCACTCTCTCCCTTTTATTCTTTCTATCTGTCATTCTCTCTGTCTCTACTATTCTTTCTCGTTCTCATTTTTTCTTTTCTCTCACTCTCTCATTCTCTCTCTCTTACTTTCCTTCCACCTCTATTTCTCTTTCTGTTTCTCTCTCCTATGTCTTATTCTTTCTCTGCCTCTATTATTTTCTCACTTTTCTTCTCTCTCTCTCTCTCTCTCTCTCTCTCTCTCTCTCTCTCTCTCTTCTCTCTCTGTCTCTCTCTGTCTCTCTGTCTCTCTCTCTCTCTCTCTCTCTCTTCCCCTCTCTCTCCCTCTCTCTCTTTCCCTCTCTCTCTGTCTCTCTCTGTCTCTCTCTCTGTCTCTCTCTCTGTCTCTCTCTGTCTCTCTCTGTCTCTCTCTCTCTCTCTCGCTCTTTCTCTCTCTCTCTCTCTCTCTTCCCCTCTCTCTCCCTCTCTCTCTTTCCCTCTCTCTCTTTCTCTCTCTCTCTCTCTCTTTCTCTCTCTCTCTCTCTCTCTCTCTCTCTCTCTCTCTCTCTCTCTCTCTCTCTCTCTCTCTCTCTCCTTGCACATACACACATATGTAAAATCCAAAGCCCTTTGTGAAGGGCTGAGAGAACACAGTCACCTGGGGAGTCAGGATAAGCCTCATAGAGGAGGTAGCATTTGTGCTGAACCTTGAAGAGAGGTGGGGAGGCTGAGGCAAACAATGACGCGGGCATATAAGTCACATAAAGGCACACAAAGGTAGGAGATGGGATCTGGAGCCCCTGACAAGGCATTCGTTGCACTAACCATTAGGCACACTTTCTTCCACTAAATCAAGCAGCAGCATAATCTGGGAGAACAAAACCCAATCAAAAAAAAGAAGCAAGGAGTGATATCAGGTTTCTCATTCCCTATAAGCGGAGCCAAGCTCCCTGTGTTACCTCCAGCAAGGCAAGTCAAAGCCTTGGAAAGAAACTCGAAGAGTCTGAACAACTTGGGTGAATCATTCAGAAGAAGAGAATCAGGGCCACCACAGGCAGTGTTCTGGAGGGTCTCTCCAGACAGGGATTGTCACCAGGCTTAGGGCATTCCTCAGCATCAGAGGATTGCAGACTTCCAGGCAGAAAGTGCCTTAGTCCGGCCCCCTCATAGTGAAGATGAGAGGACTGAGACCCAAAAGGTCACGCAGGATGATGGCTTATCTGAAAAGAACCAAGGGCTGTCATCACGCGGTACAGATGGAAGCCTTGGGTTTAAATCCTGCTCTGTGGGATCTGGAACAAGTCATTTTCCATTTCCCTTCTGGCCTCATCTGTAAAATAACAGCAACTGGACCCCATGGTTTCCAAAGGTCCTTTCCAGTTCTAAATCCATGTTCCTTTGAGATCTGCTTGTACCAGGTAGGTACAATAAAAATGTCAAGGGCTAAAATTCACATTTCTACAGCTTCTTAGGAGAAATAGGATCAGAGGTGGAAAGCATCTCAGAAGTGTATGTACCCCACCCACCCTCCCCCATTTCACAGATGAGGACACTGCAGCTGAGAGAGATTAAATAATTTGCCTAGGGTCACACCATTAATAGATGTCTGAAGTGGGATTTGGAATCCAGCTTTCCCAACTCCAAGCCTAGTACATTCTCCATTGTATCCTGTTGGTCCACGAAGCTTCAACAAGTGCCTTCTTCACAGCCCCTTGAGGTCTAAAAGCATTAGGTAACCCATTTTATAGATGAGGAAACTGAGGCTCAGAAAATAAAATTACAAAACTTGCAATGGAGAGAATAGGGTTAAGAGCCAGAAGTCACAAACTGAGCTTTCTGACTTGACGTCTCTTTCGCTTATCATCTCCCCAGTAGCTGCTTTCTGCTGGTGCAGACCACCCATGGGGAGAAGTCTACTAAAAAAAGAAATTCCAAAACAGGCCTGATTAAGTTTTAAGTGTCTTGCTGTTGCCCTGGCGGCTCCAGACTTACCCCGGTCATTGTTCGTCTGCCTTGATAACCATGCATTCCTTCCTCCTCTTCTCCCATCCTCAGGCTGAGAGGACACAGGCTCCCTGAAGCCAGATTCACTCAGAGCACTCCAATCAATTTAGTGCCTATGTCTTGAGGACACCGCCCCCACCCCCACCCCCGGCAAACTCACCATTCTTCTGGTCACCTATGGTACAGGAGTCTTTCCCTAACCCTCCTCACTGATTTGTCTCTTCTCCAGCCCATCAGTTAGTGGGGCAGGACCGAAGCAGTTAATAGCATAAGCACCAAAGAGTAAGCCCATCGCTTCATCGTACAGTGACTAATTTGAAATTGGCTTGGCCACAGCAGAAACAGCAGGAGATCATAGGCCTAAATGTTGCATGTTACCAGACGTACCTGTGACCTTCTGCATTCTGAAGTGAGAACTATTTTTTTAATCATTAGAAATAATAATAATAATAACCCACCCACTAAAAGCAGATTGTCTAATACAGCTGAAGTAGCTGTGAGGGTGTGAGCCCCCAGCATACCCCCCCCCTCCACAGGGTATCCCCTTCCTCCCCACCCCCCTCCCCAGTCACTATAAAGGCTTCTGGCAAACTGTCAGATTCATAACCTTTCTCGACGTATAGATATGAGTAAGGCAGCCCCTGCTGGGTGCTGCATTTGAGCTTGAGATGCTGAGAAACTGTTGGGTTTGTGAACTTGGCACTCTCTGAAGGGGAGAAATGCATGCTTCTCTCTCCCACCTGTACAACCCTGACCCCAAATGGTCCTTGGGGTGCAAATGAGGATAAGACCTGTTTGTCCTGAAGGAAGAAAATGGGGACCTCACCCACAGACAACCTAGGAGTCTCACACAGGCTACTGGGGGAAACTCTCCCTTCTGGGGAAAAGGAAGAGAGAAAAGTTAGAGGCTGTGGGTTCTAATCCCAGCTCTGATACTTTCTTACATGTAGAAGAAGGGGGAATTTCATAATAAACTTCTAAGTTTGGACCTTCCTTATGTGTTAAATGCGGAGCTAGATCAGCCGTAATTCCAACTCTGAATCTTGGAATCCTTGAGTCCCTTTCTGATGGACTCTGTTTGAAATCTCTAGGCTAACAAAACTACATATCTTGCCAGCCTTCTAAAAGTATACAGCCATAAAGAAGCAAAAACCTGAATTGTGGTGGAAATTATCATCTAAAATATGGTTTTGCATCTTCTTTTCTGTTTAAATGCCTCATAAGTCATGGGCTTCAGTGTTTTTTGTGGATATGTACAGGTGTCCCCCCCGCCCCATCTTACTAGTTGTACTTCCTTAGACAAGTTCCTTAATTTCATCTATAAAATGAGGGGGTCAGCCTCTGAAGACCCTCTGAGCTCTAAATCTATGACCCTACAATACTTACTGATACAGTAGATAGAGAACCGGCCCTGAAGTCAGGAGGACCTGAGTTCAAATCTGGCCTCAGACCAAACACTTGACACTTACTAGCTGTGTGACCCTGGGCAAGTCACTTAACCTCAATTGCCTAAAAATAAATAAATACAATACTTGCTGGTATTAGTTATCATCTTCACTTTTGCTTCAGAGAAAACTAGGAAGGATGACCCAGTAGAAAGAGGGCTGGATTTCCATAGAGCCAGAGGGTCTGGGTTTGAATCTTGGTTTTATCCTACTCAACCTTCTTTGAGTCAGTGTCCCCATCTGTAAAATGAGTGATTGTACCAGATGGACTCTAAGGTTCCTTCTAGTTCTGAGCCCATTCTTTTCCTCCAACAGAGTTGGTATCAATATGCAAATGATCCAGGATTTCATCAGCATGGTGTGTGTGGGGGGGATGGGAGGGAAGGGAAACCTAGTGTGGGAAGTCTCTTCACCAACACAGATTAAAATCCTTTTATAGCTTGCCATGTAAGCTCCATCAAGGTACTTATTTATAGGACATAAGTGGTTAAGTGACTTGCCCAGGGTCACATAATTAATAAGTGTCAAAGGTAAAGCTTGGCCCCGGAGCTCCCTGCCTCTAAAACTAAAATGTTAACACATAAGTATGCTGTTGGGGTGGGATGGGGGAGGGGAAGGTGTAGAGAAGGGAGGGGTTGGTCTGGCTCTGGAGTAAACTTCCAGTGTGGAAAATTCCATCCACTAATACAGGACAATAACTCAAATGAAATTTGTAATCGAGAAAGCTGGCTGAGGGATTGAGAGGTTAAGCGACTTATCCAAGGTCTCCTAGTCAGCATGTATCAGAGGTCATATGAAGTGTTTTAGAAATGAGAGGTATTTATCTCCCCCATTTGAAACTCTCAGTCCATCTGATCAGGAGTGACCAGCAAGCAAAGGACACCATCACTTCTGGGTCACAACGGAGTCTGAGCCCAAATTCCTCACTTATCCCAGGTAGTAGTTCTTGGTAAGACACCAGGAACACTGGCTTAAGTCAGAAGACTTGGGTTTATGTCCTCTCCATAACCTATAGCCTGTGTGACCTTGGGACAATCAAACAATCAACATTTAGGAAGCTCCTACTATGTGCCAGGCACTGTGCTAAGCACTGAGGATACAGAAAGAGGCAAAAGGCAGTCCCTGCCCTCAAGGAGCTTACAATCTAATGGAGGAGACACGTCAACACATGCCACATGGGAAACAACTAAAAGAGGGAAGGCACTGGAATTAAGATGGATTGGGGAAGGCTGCCTGCAGAAGTTGGGATTTTAGTTGGGACTTGAAGGAAGCCCAGTTGGATGGTGGTTGGAGAAGAGAAGGACATGGGGGACAGCCAGAGAAAATGCCCAGAGCCAAGGACAAATCACTTGGTCTCTCAGGGCCTCAGTGACCTCATTTGTAAACCAAGGGGGCTGGAATAAATAGCCTTTCAGACATTCCAGATCTAGAATTCTGATCCTAAGAAACTGTCCATACTGGAAATGCACCCAAGCCCTTGAAACTTGCAAGGGCTGGGTATGCCTGGACCAACGGAGGTTTTCTCAACATTGCCCATTTGGAGATATTCTAGCTCAGAGCCTGTGTTCAGTGCCTGCCCCAGCCCCCTAAACTCAAAAACAACTTTGGAAACTATTAGTGACACCCACAGAGAGGCAGCCAGAGCCATCTTGTAAGTGATGCTCTTGAGCTACTCCCCGCCCCTCCACCAATGCGCCATACTGGTGCATAGGGCTGCTCACCTTTTGACAAAATATTTTAAGGGGACTGAAAGTGCATCCCCCACAATGAAGTTCCCCAGCTCCCTTTCAAAGGCCCAAGCAAATGCATTCAAAGGTCTATTCAAGCCCAGGAAATGCTACCGAAACGGTTTATTAACAATCTAATCATATGGTATTTAGATGACAGGAATGATCTGTGGTTGTACCTGACACCCCCATGGGCTCTCAAAGGCATGGGAACACAATTATTCAGGATTGAAACTCGGGTGTAGGAGAAGTGAGGAACATTTTAATTGGGGTATTTCTTGGACTTTGTATTTACTTCTTTCTTAAAATCAGAAAAAAGTATAAGAGTAGGGCCTCCAAAGATGCCACCAGCTATACAATCCTCCTCTGGGGAGCACATATTAATTAGTGTGGCAGATGTTTGCACTATATTGTCAGGTTGTGAATAAAAAATCAGGCAAGAAAGCCTGCTTAATTAACATACTGCCTTGCCTAATATGCTTTCTGGGTCTTTTGTACTAGTTCGGAAAACAAAAACAAATACAAAAAACCCGGATACCAGGTGCATGAAGAGAAACACCCAAAAGAAGAGATTTCAACTGAAGGATGTTGCTTCCAGTCTTACTCCAACCTCTTTATTTTATAATTAATCGGTGAGCATTTATTAAATACCTACTATATGCCAAGAACTAGAGATACAAAGAAAAGAATGAAACTGTTCTTCTCTCCTCAAGCTTATCCTCTAGTCAATAGGTTAACCGGTCAAACAGTTGTTAATTATCTACTATGTGTCAGGCTCTGAACTAGGCATTGGGAATCCAAAGACAAAAAAAGGTAATTGGCCTTGCTGTCAAGGAAAGTACTTTCTATGGAGCCTACCAAAGAGGAAATAGTGACCAGATCAATCAAGTAATCAACCAGCAAGCACTGATTGGGCTGCTATTGAGACAAGATTGAAACAGCATTCCTGCTTCGAGCCGTGCCATCAAGCCCTTCTCCAGGCTCAGTGCCTTTCCTGTTACATCGTATTGCCTCAGCCAGAGTCCATCCTTGAAAGAACCCAAGCATTTCCATGTAGGATTGGGTGACCGCAGACAGAGAGCTGGAGGGGAGCTCAAAGCCCAACTACTCCAATCTCCTTTATTGTACAGATGGGGAAACTGAGGCTTGGGGTGGTTACATGACTTGTCTTAGGTTATGTGTGTGGTATGTAGCAGATATTGTATTTAGAACCAGGTCCTTTGACCCTAAATCTGGAGCTCTTTCCATTGGGCCTTGAAGATGTCTGAGCATCCTTACCCCTTAAGAAATTGAAGGCAGCATGTGCATGGGAAAGAGTGCCGGGTTTGGAGTGAAAGGACCTGAGTTTGAATCCCTGGTGCCCTTTCTGATTTGTACGACGTTGGGCCTCAGTTTCTTCTTCTGTAAAATGAAGGGGCTGTGCTAAATGACATCTGAGGTCCTTTCCCGCTCCAGGCCTAGGAAGATCCTATAACTTGATGCCTAGACTCTTTATTTAGTCCAGATTGAAATGGCTTTATGAGAAGTGGCCTGGTACTCACTCACTCTCTCTCTTCCTCTCCTCTCCTCTGCTCTTCTCTTCTCTCTTCTTCCCTCCTTCTTTCTCTTCTCTCTTCTCTCTTTCCCCCTCTCCCTCCCTCCTTCTTTTCTTTCTTCTCTTTCTCCCTCTCCCCTCTCCCTTTCCTTCCTTCTTTTTTTTCTTCTCTCTTTCTTTATCCTTTCTCCACTCTCTCCTTCCTTTCTTTTCTCTTCTTTCCCTCTCTCCTTTTTTCTTCTCTCTTCCCTCCCTCTCCTTTCTTTTCTCTTTCTTTCTCTCCTCTCCTTTCCTTTCCTCTATTCTTCCCTATAGGAAGCTCAGACTCTTAGAATGCACTCTCTAGCTCTGAGTGCTTGTACATATACATTCTATAAATCAAGTGTCCCCCCTCCCCAAAACTTTAGTCTCTCTCCTGCTTCACAAGCAAGGTGTTTGTTTTTATGTTATTATTTTTGTCTAAGAAAGAAATACTTCTGCTCTTTCTCACTGCTATATTTGGAGAAGACATACCTATAACTTTAACCTTTTTCCCCAGAATGACTTGAGGTGGCTCAATTCATTTTGCTCTATGTCATAACATAGCATCTGTACATGGACATCCCCACTTTACTCATCAGTTGTTCTATCCTCAGCAGCTTCTGGGACCAGTTCGTCTCTTGGAGTCAGAATGGGATTCTTGCCTCAGCTTCTAAGTGGTCTATGAGTGAGAACCCACAGGTGAGGTGCTTGGTTCTTTTTTTTAAAACCAGATCAGTATAGGCGTCCCCAGAGAGCAACATCCTTTACCAATGCAGATAAGCAAATCATCTTAAAAAGCTTTCTGGAGAACTTCAGGGTTAAATGATTTGTTTAGGGTCACTTAGCCAGGATGTGTCATGTTGGGTCTTGAATATAGGTCTTGATTCTCTGAGATTACCTACCACATATCTCATACATGTTTTCCTGTTTTCTCCCCCTTTTAGAATGTGAGCTCCCTGAGGGCATGGACTACGTTGTACCTTTCTTTGCATACCTAGTATTTGGCATAGTGTCAAGGCTCTTACTGCATGCTTGTTGATTTAATGTCTGACTCACTACCAATTATAGCTTGTGGTCATTCATTCCACTTGGACTTTTCATTGCTAATCAAGATATTAGTTAAGAGCTCAGAACTTGGTTCAGTTCTCATCTTGAGGAGACAAGGAAGAAATGCCTAGAGTGACACTTTCCCCTGGCCTGGCATTCAGGGATGCCATCCTAAGACTTCCTTGCAAAATGGTGGAATGAAGACTATTTCAAGACTGTGGAATTGGTTGGAGGCAACTCTCCTGAGTATGGGGGTGGGAGTCGGGGGGAGGATTCTGAATGTGAGGGCATGTAAGAGCCACACACTATTCAATTAGTGGCTAGACTCCAGAGGGGCAATTAGAGTTTCTTTAAGAAAAAAAGAAAAGAAAAGTAACTTCAAGTCAAAATATTTGCCAGCTCAAAGTCATCTATCATCATGACATCTGCTCATACTCAGTCTGAATTCACCCTCCTCGGTGAGCCTTGGACTATGGCAGCATGAAGGAGAAATGTTCCCATTCCTCTAATCTACAAACATTGATTATTTCTCTACAAAGCCATGTTCTTGGGCATTGGGGGATATGCTAAATTTAGATAAGGCATGGACCTTCTCTTAGAGCTCATAATCTATTGGGTATAATCAGAGAATATTTGTAAAGTTCCTCCCAAACCTTAAGGCAGTTATGTAAATATCACCAGTGATTGTTAATAGGGGGACAAAACCCAGCATCGCCAATTAGCAATGGGATCATGGATCTTAGAGACTGTCTAGTCCAACCCCGTCATTGTACAGAGTGGGAAACTGAGGTCCAGAAAGAAGTGAGAAGATCACACAGGTAGTAATCATCAAAGGTAGGATTTGAACCGAGGTCCTCTGACTCCAGTGCTGTTTCCATGATACTGTGACCCCTGCTATGGGGCCAGCAGTGTGATGGAAAGCAGGCTAGACTGGAGGCAGGAAGACTTGAGTTCAAATTCTGCCTTGTACACTGACCAGTTTTGTGACTTTGGTTGGACAAATACATACATACATACATACATACATACATACATACATACATACATATGTATGTGTGTGTGTGTGTATCTTTCTCTCTCTCTCTCTCTCTCTCTCTAGATAGATAGATGGATAGATAGATACACACACACGTATATCCAAATACAGGATAAATTGGATGTAATCAATCAAATCCTAGCCTCAGTTTCCTTATCTGTTAAAAAGAAAAAAAAAGTATGAAGAGGTTGGACTTAGCCTCTAAGGTTCCCTTTCAGCTCTAAATCTGTGATCCTGCCCTATTATGTCAAAATAGAAAGGAAAAATAGTCAGATAAATATGAAATAATATTTGATACTACTGGGGAGCTCCTGAGGTTTATTGAGTAAGGGAGTGACATAGTCAGACCTATGCTTTGGGGAAATCACTTTGGAGTTAGGAGAGAATAGAGGCATGGGAGTGACCATTTAGAAATTGAGAGGCCATGAAAGAAACCCTGCCTTCTACAAGAAGCTTTCCTGAGCCCTGCTAATGCTAGTGCCTTCCCTCTGGAACTCTGCACTTAGCACAGTGCCAGGCACACAGTAGGCACGTAATAAGTGTTTATTGATTGATTATATCCAATTTATCCTATATATAGATATACATGTATACATATATGAATATATGTGTGTGTGTCTATATAGAAAAAAACCCCCTGCTCTTGAGACATTAATGAAGTCCAATGAGGAAGACAATATTAAAACATCAATAATGTTTTATACGATTGCACATGTATTAACCTATAGTGGATCATTTACTGTCAGAGGGAGGAGAGGACGGAAGGAAGGAGGGATAGAATTTGGAACTCAAAAGTTTAAAAAAATGTTGAAGAATTGTTTCAACATGTAATTGGGGAAAATAATATAATAAAACATTAAAAAATCCATGTACACACATATATACACATGTATATATCTTGTTTGTATCATAAGTGTGTGTTCACATGTATGTATGTATATGTGTGCATGTGCATATATTTATATGTATACATACACATTTTATTTCTACTGTTTGCATTTTGTCTCCCTTGTTAGACTGAGCTATTTAATAATGATGATTGTTTCTTGACTTTCTTTGCAACCCCTTACCATGGTACTAAGCATCTGGTAGGTGTTTAATAAGTGTGTGTTGACTGACTGAAATAAGGGGGGATGTGGGAGGAGAGAGGAGACAAATAAGAAAGTCCTTATGGAGATAGAAGTGACAAGATTTGACAACCTGGTAGAAATCAGAGATGACAGTGAGTAAGGACTTACAGTGGCACCAATGTTGTGAACGTAAGAGACCAGAAGTAATAGGAAAGTTTGGGAAGTGGTGTGGGTTTGGGGGAAAAGAGAATGCAGTGAACTCTGCCTGCTCTCTCCTACCCTGAGTCTGAGGGCTGGGGCGAGAGGGATCACAAGACATACAGGAGGTGGGGATTCTGAACAAGGAGAGAGTTTTCCCATTGACACCAGCACAAGATGTTTCATTTTTGTCTTTGTATTCCAAGTGCCTGGCATGTCCTTAGTCTGTGCTCAATAAATGCTTATTGACTGATTGTCAGAGGAAGAGGTTATAAAATGAAGGTTGCTCCAGGGAGGATGAGACCTGCCTCAGAAGGATGGAGATTGGGAACCTGCACAGTAAAAAGAGGGGGTGGATGAGGGAGTACTGGGGCTAATGGTGGAGAGTAGCTGTGTTGGAAACAAGCCACCTCCACATGCTCTATTTGGGGGTGTTTGGGATGCAATCCATCTGCTCACTATCCGATGAGCTGATCATACCATAGTTTCCCAAGGGCTCAAGGCCCCCACTTTGGAGACCACTAGTATAGAGCAGGGGTCCTTAACCTTTTTTGGGTCACGGAACCCTTTGGTTGTTTGGTGAAGCCTCTGGACCACCCTTCTTGGTGGTGCAGTGGTTAGAGAACCAGGCCCGGAATCAGGAAAACTCATCTTTGTGAGTTCAAATCTTGCCTCTTACACTCAGTAGCTGTATGACCCTGGGCAAGTCACTTAATCCTGTTTGTCTGTGAAATGAGCTGAAGAAGGAAATGGCAAACCACTCCAGTATCATTGCCAAAAAACCCCAAATGAGGTCACAAAGACTTGGGCATGACTGAAATGACTGCACGACAATAAAATAAAATATAGAAGATTACAAAGAAAACCAAGTATATGGGAATATAGTCATCAAATTAAAACAAAATGCTCAAGGGCCCCAGTTTAAGAGCTGCAGGGTTAAGGGTAGAATGCTGGACTTGGAATCAGAAAGAGGTGGGTTCAAATCCTACCTTAGACATATAGCTGGCCAATTCTGGGACAGTTACATCATGTCTGTGAGACTGTTCCCTCATCTCTCAAATGGGGATTAAAAAGAGGATCTAATTCACAGGGTTGTTAGAAGAAGTAATTAATGCAGTGCCTTTGCAAAGTTTTCTGTGCTATAGAAACATGGACTTCTTTACTCTCTTTCTCCTCCTCTTCTTCCTTCTCCTCTTCTCCCCCTTTCCTCTTCTTTGTCCTCTTTTTATTCTTCCTTATCTTCCTCATCTTCCTCCCCTCCCCCTTTTCCTCATCCTTCTCTTCCTCTTTTCTTCTTCCTCTTTCTCATTCTTCTTATTCTTCCTCCTTCTGTTCTTTATACTCATTTCTTTTTTCCTTTCCTTTTTTCATCCTCCTCTTTCCTTTTTCTCCTTAACCCTCATCTTCCTCTTTCTCTTCCTTTTTCTTCCTCCTCTTTGTCATCCTCTTCCTCTTATACTCTTCTTCCTTTTCCTCCTCCCTCTGTCTCCCCTCTTCCCCCAGTCTTCCTTCTTCCCCCTGCTCTCTCCACACTGCTTTGTAATGCCAGAATAACTGCTTTAACGCACACAAATCTCTCTCTCTCTCTCTCTCTCTCTCTCTCTCTCTCTCTCTCTCTCTCTCTCTCTCTCTCTCTCTCACACACACACACACCACACACACACACACACACACACACACACTCACACACACACGCTAAATTAGCCGGGGCTCATGGGGCGCTGAGCCTGGGGAGCAGCCCGAAAGAGGTGATGCCCAGGCTCGGCCCGGGCTCCCCCCACCACCGGCAGAGCCAGACTTTGTAATGAGGTCCACTTCAGCTGAGTGCTGAAAGCAGCCGCACACATGGACTGCCCGGCTCTGCGCTGCTGGAAGGAATTCGGCTTTCACCCGCCGAGGCGGGCGTTCTCATTACTTCATGCACTTGGCAGCTGCTAACAGACTGGACAAGCTTAGCCAAAATTAGAGCTGATCCAGAAACATGGAAAAGACAGTTCGCAGTTTCCAAGGCCCTGATTGGCGAGGGCTCCGGAGCCAGGGAGACAAGGCGGGGAGGGAGGTCAGTCCTTATGGATTCGCTTTCTCCTCTCCTGGAGCAATCGGCCATGATCACTGATCTCCTGCGCCTCACCTCTATCTCCGTTGTTCTGGAGCTCCCCCTCCCCTTTTAAATTTTTTCTTCTTCAGTCTCAGTCAAGGCTGCTTCCCCTCAACTCCGCAGCTCCCGGTCCTTCTTAAAGATACAAAGTGTCCCTTTATAGGAAATATCAATTCAGAAAAGGGCTAGTCGTAAGCTGAGAATATTTGGATAAACTTGACAGCCTTTTAGGACGACAAAAGACCTTTTGTTGCCTGGGAGAAAAAAGGCCATGGCCCGCCATAGGATCACTGGATGGAGTCCAGTAAAAACGGAGGTCGGGGAAGAAAAATGATGAGGGGGTCTCCTGAAAGATCTTGACTCTTTGGCAAATGTTTATTATTATTCATTTTTTTTTATTAGAATGTGAAGTTAACATCCTATTGCACAAGAGTGAACTGGAACCGTGTCTCCCCTGGAAAGCACGGTCCGTCTGCTCACGCACAAAGGGAACTTTGTGGTATTGTGTGTGTTTTATTTCTGCGCAAGATATTTATTAATTAGGGGAAGATAAATCTAGAATTTGCCTTGTGGATAGCAAAGGAGACCCCAACTTGCAAGGGAAAGGAGAGAAAATGTTACACAATTGTGTTCGTCTTTTTGATCTGTTAATTCTAAACAAGAAAGACATTGTGGGCTCTGGTGGAAAGGTCAGGGGGTGGGTGAGTATCTAGACCCTGAAAGGAGGGGAGTTGGAGGTCTACCCTTTCAGCAGACATGCTGACTTTCAGAGCTCTGCTCTCAGCTTTGAATATGTTAAGCATGGTGGAAGGGAGAATGGAGATTTCTGCAGAGTATCAGACTGATGCCACCCCTGTCCCTATCACCCAGAAAGGGGCCCATCAGCTTTTCTTCCATCAAAAGCAAACTGGATTTAGAACCTGGGTTCAAATCTTGGCTCTCACTCACTACTTGCTTGATACTGGACAAGTCGTTCCTTTTTTCTGGTCTTTGGTTTTTTGAAATGAAGGAACTGTGTTTGACAATCTCAAAAATCCCTTTTCGGCACTAAATGAATGGTCTTATGATCCCTGTTTCCTTCTTTGCAAAACAAATAGGTCAAACTTGAATGATCTCTGAGGTCCTGTCCAGCTCTAAGAACTATGATGAGCATTAATTAAGCATTTACTATGTATGAGGCACTGTGCTTATGTGCCAAGCACTTAACAAATATTATCTCATTTAATCCTCACAACAGTCCTGGGAGGTAGGTACTGTTATTACCTCCACATTACAGTGAAGGAGAATGAGGCAAACATAGACTAAATGATTTGCTTAGGGTCACACAGCTGGTAAGTGTGTGAGGCTGGATTTGAACTGATGTCTTCCTGACTCCAGGCTCCAGCACCCTATCCACGGCAC